ACGAGAGGGCGAGGTGGGAGGAACAAACACGCAGACAAATAAGCGGCGGCAAGCATAAAAGCATGTGGCAACGAGATTGCTGCTGCCTCGAGAGGGCACAACAGGGCACACACCGACACCCCCCACCTTTCCCGCCCCTGCTGGAATCATCCTCACAGCCTTGGCTTGCGCCTGTGCAACGCAGCCGTCCGCTCCGCTTCCGCATCCCCGAGCGGGCTTTGCGTCGCCGCAGGAAACAGTGCGGAGGAAGGAATGTGTATTATTCAATTTGGTAGTCGTTGCGCTTCGGCTGCTGCCGCCTCTGCTGCTTGCGCAAAAGGAAGGCCTTACCACTCTCCATCGCAATATCCTCCTTACGCTTGGGAGGGGCAGGCGGAAAGATGGACTTCTCCTTACCCGCCTGCTTCTTCACAGACTCCCGCAGGCGCTCCTTCTTGACCTTTCGCACCACCTTTGCCTTCTCCTTGTTTTGCACGCTCTTCTTGTAGACAGGCACAAAGCGACTCCAGTCTTCATGTCGTAAATCCTCACGCTTGGCGAGCTCGCGTTTGATAAGAAGCTGCTTAAGGCCGTAAATAGGATGAATGTTGTTCATGCAGTCGTCAACAATCTTTCGCACCTGCTGGCACCCCTTCACTGGTCCCATCACCGCCACGGTTTTGCCCTGCACAAGGACATAGCAACCGGTGAGAATCTCTAAAGCCTTGAGGGTCTGCGCCTTTGGGCCGACGAGACGATCGCGACGCTTGATGAAGCGACGCGTGCTGTTGCCCTTCATAGAAATGGGAATAATGTCACAAGTGATATCCGTCTGAAAGATCTTTTGCGCCTGTGCGAGAGGCACGTTTCGGGCCAGTAGCCGAATGAAGTCTCGGGCCTTCACAACGGCGTAGGGATCCCACGTTCTCCGCGTGGTTGCCACCGTCATGGAGCCCTCCATCAGGTCCAGCTTGCCGACCAGCTGGTGTTGTCCCAAAAGCGTCTCCACGGCCGGCCACACGCTGCGGATGTAACTCTCTAGGTAGCTGGGAAACTGCGTGGCGAAGGTGGTCTCATCCACGCAGCAGGCGCCGCCAGGAACGTCGTCCTGCGTGAGTTCGGGCACAAAATACTTGGAGGAGGGGGAGGAGGAGGCCATTGCTCAACGCGGCCACTCGCTTCACTGACGTGCGCAGGATAAAAAGGCAGAGAGGAAGATAGAGAGAGAGGGGAAGAGGGAAGGTCAGTGACAATGCGGAGAAAATCCTCGCAGAGGGAACGAGGGAGAACACAGTAACAGTGCGGAGGCGAAACGCAAGCAGCGGTTGAATCGAACGGCTTTCACGCCAGCGTCCTCAGCTACACTCACGTCTTCCACGAGGAGCGTTGCACAATTGTCTCTCGCCCCCTCGCCCCCTCCCCTCCCCCCCCCCCACCTCGTTACCGCCGCGGCCGCCCACCACTGCTGATCACACGATCAGAAGACGTCACATTACAGAAACGCGCATAAATAACAAGAAAAAGAAAAAAGAGGAGAGGAGGGCAAAGCCACAGGAAGCAAACTACTCTCACCTTCTCTAGCGCAACCCACATACACGCATTAAAAACGTAGATCAAGAACAGAGGCAATCCACGGTCCCAGTATTGAAGATGAAGCAACAGCATCGCACGACGCGACTCCGATGCGGAAACAGCTTCCTCTTCTTAAACAATTACGGATTTGGCTGCGCGTTAGGCTGCGTGGAACCCAAATATTTCGAAACGGCCAGTGGAAAGCCGCCTGCCACGCACCTTTGCGACTCGAGTGGTCGCAGTCTGCTGTTCAGTGCCGTCCACGTGCCATCCGGCGACGCTTCGAGGGCAACGGTATGCAGAGCCTCCGATGCAGCCCACCTAATGGGTGCGTTGTCTGGGCACACAGAGGGGGTGCCTTTATTCAAAGAGGTGAATGAGGGCGTCAGCATCGTTCGCTGAGGATCCAAGTTCATTAGTGCGGCGTATGTGAGACGGGCCTCTATCCACTTTGCCTCCGCCGGGAGGGCAATAAACACCATCTGACTCCCGCGATGCACAATGATGTATTTTGAGTACGAGGTGTGAATATTATTTTCCTGCATCGTCGCTACGCAATACTTCGCACAATCGTCCTTCCGACGGACTCGCCGCTTCCGCGTCCGCTTCAATGTTTCTGTTGACTACAGCCGCGCGCGTCTACGCATCGCAGGCACACAAAGCCAAGGAATCAGAAGGGATTTCACAGAAGACGCGATACAAAAAAAAACACACACGCACACAATACGCAATCAAAACTCTTGGATTGTGCGAGCCTCACCTCGCCGGGCCCCCACCCACTCCAACCTCAGAGAACGCGTGACACGCCGCTCACCGTCCTTCATCGCACGCGCCAGCAAACACGCGCGTGGACGTGGGCAGCAGTGCTGCCCACGCCGCGCGACAGCTCCATCGACTTCCGCCACGGCGACGAAAGCGACCGCAAAAGTGCACACACCGATGTGGGCAAAATCAGCCCAAATGCGCGGCAAAACGTAGGCGCATACACACAAGCAGAAGGAAAGAGAAAGAGGGAACAACAACAAAAAAAGCAAATTGAAATGAGCAAAACACTGTAACTAAAAGGAAATAATAATAATAAAAGAAAGAAGTTCCGAGGGTCGGAGGTGACAAAGCAGACACATGCATTTCTCTGTATAGAAAAAAAAAGGGAGTGGGGAAGAACACCATTTGTCCACGTGCTCATCTGCTACGTTCACCTCGGGGAAATTCCTCCGGATTCAACCCTATCCTCATCCACAAGTGTCTGCGTCTTGCGCCTTGTGGCACTCATAGCCCTCATGCTTTCCAGCAGGTCGACCATAAGCTCCTGCCGACGCGTGTTGTCTCCGTGGGCCGTCGGGCCGGGTTTGTAGAGAGTGTTGAGGAGGTCGGTGAGGGTCCATAGCCCAACCATCACCCCGCCCTCGTCGTACACCACGGCCATGTTGGATGAATTTTTATGAAAGGCAAGGTAGGTGTTGTACAGCGTGGCGCTCGCCGGCAGGCGGAGGATCTCCAAAAGGGGGTACTCCCCCGCTCGCGGCGGGTTCTGCGGGTTGGTGAAGCACAACTTGACGAGCGACTGCACAATGAGGGCGCCGAGAATGTGCCGCCGGTTGTCGTTCAGGTACACAGGAATGCGGCTGTAGCCGGCGACAACAATCCTCTCCACCGTCTTTTTGTCCAGCCGCGTCCGCGACGAGAGCATAAACGCCTCGTCACACGCCGTCACGACGAAATCCTGCACTCTGTGGCTTGACAGCCGCAGGGCCCCTGTGAGCATGTTGACCTCCGACTCTCGAAGAAACGCCGTTTCCCCCTGCTGGGCCAAAAGCAAAGCCTCCAGCTCGTCGCGTCCGAGGAGGTAGTCCTTGTGCCCCAAGATGTAATCCAGGAGCTTTCCCGCCGGGTAACTTACCGGGGCGGTGAGAACCACCAACAGCCAGACGAGTGGGACGAAGAAGGAACACATCGGAAATGACCAGCGAACGAAAATAGAGAGAGGGATAATGTCACTAATAAAGAGCACAGCCGTAATGGATAGAAGAAGCGCTGTCAGCTGGTCAAAAATCCGCTCAAGTAAAATTGGCACGCCCGTCATTGCCGAGGCATTAGACAGGAGCAAAGCCACCAGCGTCCAGTGCTCGAGCTGCAGGAGTTCCAGTAGGCGCTTCGCCCGCCGCTGTTCCTGTAGTGAGCCCGTTGTTGTCAGAATGCGAAGGAACATGCGATCCATAGAAAACAAAGCCACCTGAATACCTGCGGTGATGCCCGTGAAGATCACTAGCCCCACAATACCAAGCGAGTAGGCGATTACCTCATTTTGCGTCAAGGTCTGTATACTCATATTCCTACACTTGTGACTGTGTACTTTTTGTGGTACAGTTGTATTACAAGCAAAAAAAAAAAACACACACGCACACAAAACGAAAGGGGGGAAACGGCACGGCATGAGAAGTTGTTGCAAAGCAAAGCGCTAAGGTGACAGTCAGGTGAACCCCAACAAGAGTTAAATTCTCCCCGCGTCCTTTCGGACTTTTTCGTTCTTGTTGTTTTTTCACGTCATCCCTCTCTTCGCTTAAAAGATTAATACCTAGTGCTTAAAATGGTTTAATCCTCCTTGTTTGTGCTGCCACACCTCTTCGAGCTTCTCCCTTTCTTTGGCTTTCTTTACTTTACTTGTTTTTTCACCTCCTCCCTCCACCATGCATGTCACGACGACACCGCCACTACTCGTCTCCGCCGTCATCCTCGTCATCATCGTCGCCTTCCTCGTCGTCTTCCTCGTCGTCCTCATCTTCCGTCTTCTCAATGAGCAGAATGGACTGCTCGCCACTCTTCTTGACGAGAAGCGCCTCCCTGAGGTCCTGCTGCCGCAGCACCGCCATGATGATGGCGTCGGCAATGGCCCACATGTTCCCCACCTTAATGCCAAGCTGGGCGGAGAGCGGGCCGGGGTCCTTCGTCTGCGTGGCGAGAATCTCGTGCTTGGTCGGGTCCAGCGTCCCGTTGCTCCTGTAGCTGCGCGACACGAAGCCAATCTTCATTAAGGCCCCTGACAAGTGGCAGAGAGACACCCAGCGGGACATCTTTTGCGCGTTCCTGCGGTATTCGTCCGAAATCCACTTGGCCGCCTGCGCGTCCAAGGTCTTGCGCCACTCGCTTTCCGCCCCCCCTGTACACTGCTCCAGAAGCCCAAAGATGCGGACGTACTTGTCACCCTCCACCGCGTCCACCTCACAGCGCACAATTAGGTCGTAGCGGTCCTCCGTGTCGGCGTGCATCACAAATCGGCGATAGCGATACAGGCGCGGCTGGGTTCCAGGGAACGGGTTCTTCTCACACTTCATCTGGTAACGCGTCTTTGAGCACGCCTGTGCGACAAACGCGTTGTTTACCTCCGTCGACTCCTTCGCGAGAGCAGTGATGCGCTCAGATTGAATGGGGTCGTTTTCCACGGGGCGACGCGAGGCGTCGGCTGTTTCCCCAACCCACTGCATCTCAATATTGCTCTTCTCCGCCTTCGAAATAAACACAATACGGTTGTAGCGAAAAATCTCAAGATGCCAGGGATGCACACTACGGCTGCACGTCATCATGAGAGCGAGAATCTCGTCTGTGGCGACAACAATGGGATGCGTCCCAGTCGCCTTCGTCTTGAGGATTTCGCGAAGCGGCCCATCGGCCCCAGTATTCGAGCGGGCAAAAAACTCCTGATTTTTATTGCTTTCGTCGAGGCGTATGGGAGCCTTACAGCTCGATTTTTCCATAGCACTGTTGTAGACCAAGGGACAGTTGTGAAGGGAGATGTCTGTCACAATCGGGGCATCGTGAATGTTTTGCATCTTGGCCAGCTCCGCCTGCGTGAACTCGGCAAAAATACGCACATCCGTTGGCACCCGAACGGTGTCTGGTAGAAGCGTCAGGTTCCGCTTAACTTTGTTGGCAAAGTGGCTGCGCGGGTTCTGCGGACGCTTCACGAAGCGCCGCTCCGGGCCATGGCGGCGATCCTTCGCGCGAAGGTTGCGCAGCGCCTTCAGCCGATTCTCGTCCTTGACGGTGGTGAACTGCCTCTTCTCCGTCGCCTGCTCCGCCGTCGCCTCCAGCCAGTCGCTTGGGAAAATCGCGTCTGTCTTCTGGTACAGGCGCACCTTCATGCCGCCCATTTCCATCTCCTTCGGCGGCGGCCCCCACGCAAACGGCGGGTTGACAAAAAGCTCCGGCAGCTCAAAGCTCATCACGTGACGGTGCTAAATCCACACAACACACGCAGAGCACCCGGGGGCAAGCACAGTCAAGAGAAGGTCTCTCGCTAATCTACGATGCAACCATCGCCCGAGGAAAAAGGGGTGCAGGAACGTCAAGAGACGTGTGACAAGGGGAAGGAAGAGGAGTGAGTCAGCATCGGCTCAGATAAACCCGACAGACAGACAAAAAAAAAAAAAACGAAAAAAAACAACGACACAAACAACTACTCGAATAACAAGGACAAAGCGAAGGCGCACGAACGTTGAAAATGTTAATCTGCAGCCTCATCTGGAAATACACAAATCTAAGGCGCAGTGGCCGAGACAACAACTAAAAAATAAATAAAGAAGTAAAATACAAATTACGGGGACAATGACGGAGATATCTCTCTGTGCATGTATATGTGTGTGGGTGTGTGGGTGGGTGGGTGGGTGTCTGCTTTAATGACGCAGTGAGATGAGAGTGTGACGAACGCCCACGGCCCTCAAAGCCTACTGCTGGGGCTTATCTTTACATATCTCACTCACTGCAGCACTCACACTTCCAGACCTCTGTACAAGTTCGCATGCCTCCGCGTGGCTCATATCAAACCCCATTTCCACGAGGGCGTCAGCACCCTCACGCACCCAGGGTCTCCCACTCCGGCGGACTGTCTCCCTTAGACTTCTTCTTGCCACGCAGATGCGAGACGACTTCCTCGGGGCTTGCTTCGTTGCCATCCGCAGTCTTCAACTCCGTCCTCGCGGCCAAAACAGCCTCTGCGGTAAACTCGTTCCCAGTCAAGGATTGAACGGCTAGAAGCAAGGCATCGGCATCAACGCCGTTGCCGTCGGTGAAAGTGGCGGCGCCGTGGACGTCTTCAATGGCCTCAAAGAAGATGGACGACCTATCCGCGTACGTCTCATCGGAGAGCAGAAGCAGTAACCTCCCACCGAGCTTCACGGCGGTGGAGAAGTGGTTATTCCAAAAAAGAACAGCAACCTCCCCTTCGCCAAGCTCGCGTCGAAGCACCGCCAATCCCTCGTCTGTTAGCTGTGAGCGTGTCTGCTCTAGGAACTCGTTGGCAACCCCCGACAATTCACTGTTTTTGTGCGTCGCCAGAAGACTCACTTCATTAAAAGACATATCACGCAAGGCGGCGTAGCGACCCTCCGACGAAATCAGCCACCCATGCACAACACGTAGCCCTGCAAGAGCGAAGAGCATCACGTCATCCTCCGAATCAAAGCCGTCTAGCACAGAAAAAATAGGGCTTATGTTCATACCGTGGTACAAACGGTGCAAAAACTCCTCGCCTTCTACACCCTCCGCGAGTTTCGCCCGGGTCTCAGCGAGACGCTCTTGAACGAGGCCGGCAATTGTTTGAACTTCCTCACCATTCACCACACGTGTGAGGGGAGAGACAAATTGTGGAACATCCGGATTGCCTTCTATGATATACTCGAGAATTCTGCGACGAAGCTCCTTGGCTTCAATTCGCCGGCAATCACCGGGGCACAAATTGATGCGCCCCAACAGCGCCAGCGCGTTGGCCGCGGCCACCACAGGGCACGGACCATTTTGATCCTGCGTCACAATGCTGACACCACGGCCGCAGAACATATCTTTTTTCACCCGATGCGAATCAAGCGGGTCTACAACAACAGGAAGCTCCGGCAGCACCTCTAAAAGGCCATCCTCAAAGTCCTTTTTTGTGAAGGCCGTTGCCACCAAGGCCTCGGCGTTGGTGTCAAGAAGAACGTACAAGTTGCCCGAATTCACACCGAGGACCACTCCCTCCCCCTTTGGGGTTCGCAGCCTCTTCAGGAAGACGCCGTCAAATGGGGCGGTCGCCTCGGCGGTCATAACAATCATCCGAGTGACGCCGTCGTCACACACAAACTCAGACTCCATTCCTTTAGCCCCCCTCCCTTGGCTTTGCCTCTTCTCTACCCAACCCCGCGCCCTTTGCTCAATCTACGTTTATGTTGCGTTTATTCAATTTCGTTATTATTATTGTTATTATTATTTGGAGAAAAGGTGCCTATTTTTGCTGCACCCGCCTTCTTGCCGAATGTGGCCGCTATGGCGTCAGGAGACGGCAAACTGGCAATCGCCTGTCCCCCACTACTCGGCAAAACAAATATTAAACAAAAAAAGAGTAAAAAAAAAAGAGGAGGGGGGCAGCGCCAGCGCATATATATATATGACGTTGTTCCACATCCATTTCAGTTACTTCGCATGCCCAGCATTACTGCTCACTACAGCCGCACGCAGGAAAGGTTTGCATGATAACCATTTCCTGTGGGTAAACTCAGGGTAGAGAGGTGAATTGGAAGGGCGATGCTGGTAATAATGATAAAAAATGAACATCATCATCAGCAGCTTGCGCGGTTATCCGCATTCAATACATTGCATTAAGCCCAATACCAAACAAGCAGTAATTACCGCGCATGACTCTACTCGGACAGTGGCTCCGTGATCAACTCGCTGCTACTGTTCTAATTTCGCTCCATTCAGTTCCTTTTTACGTTCTCTTTATGCAACATGATTTCCTTCGAGCAGCAAAGTTTCACATCGCCCACCCGCGTGCATAAAGGCACATATACATATATATATATATGTGTGTGTGTGTGTTTTTACGCAAGTCTTCAGTTCCCCACGTGTGTACTTCACCCCCCCCCCACACTTTCTCCCTTCAAGCTTCATTCCTTTTATTTAATTTGCGTGTTGCACATCCTGCCCTTCAACGCATCACTTCTTTTTCCCCCTTTTTGCTACCTTCCGTCCTCCTTACGTGGGAAATTTTCTTGCGTGTGACGTGACTCCTTCCACCTGTTTTTTCCCTCGATGGCGGAACGGAGGTCCCGACGCCGGACGTCCAGCGCGCCACGTGTCACAACATTACGGCTGTAATCTGCTCCATCAACGGTCCCCACATCTCCCACGCATTTTCGTTTTGGTATTAAATTTGTGTCCGCGTCGGCCGCTGTGCGCCACCTCAACACACGTTGAAAGCAGCGGCCGCCGGCCAAACATGCGCGGGAACGTCACGGCAGGAGAGCTGGAATAATTATACCCACCCGCCCGGCGACCTCGAAAGAAAATAACACAAAGTAGCCCAAAATAGAGGGCCATTGCTACGCACTGCGGCAGGAAAAAAAAAAGAAAAACAAAACAAAAACGCTTTACATGAAGGAGTTGCTCTTTTGTATGCGCCTGCGAGAAGTGCGTCGTCGCTGTTTACTTTTTTGTTTTGTCGCTCTCAGGGAGCCGGCGTCGCTGCCCCTTACCGCCGGGTGAAGTTGCCGTTGAGCAAGCCGCGCAAGAGTCTCCTAGGTGGACATGGCCCGACGGAAATTCATTCGATGGCTGTGCGGTGTCCTTCTCCGCACTCCCCAGCCACGGATGCTGAAGCAGTTCCTCGGCCGAAGGCCGCTTCGTTATGTCCCGCTCAAGGCACTTCTTCAGGAAGTCGCGGCACAACTCCGAGGTCCCCTCTGGGATGGTCAGCATGACGTCGGTGTTCCCCACGAGGTACAACATCGAGACAACATTCTCAAATTCTTTTCGCCACGGCGGAGTTCCGCCGTTGAGCAGCTCTACGACGGTGCAGCCAACGGACCATATGTCGGCCTTCGTCCCGTACTCCTCATTGCGTATTACCTCTGGGGCCATCCAATATGGCGAGCCGACGAGTGTATCACACCCCGCCCGGCTGTAATCATTTATGCCCAGCAAATTTTTGGAGGAGCCAAAATCCGCCAGCTTGACAACGCCCAAGCCATCCACGAGAATATTTTCTCCCTTGACGTCTCGATGCACCACCCCCTTCTGATGCAGGTAGCGCAGCCCAAGCAACATCTGATACGTGTAGTATCGAATCACAGATTCATTCAAGCCTGTAAAGCTCCTCACAACGCTGGTGAGGTTTCCCGCCACGGCGAATTCCATAAATACCAAAACGTTATCATGATTTGTGCGGCATCCCAAATAACGGATGATGTTCGGATGGGAAAGTTCCTTCAGCATGTTCACCTCCGTCTCCACTTGCGAAAGCGCCCTCTTGGAGGAGTTCTGAATACTGACGTACTTCACCGCCACCAGTCTCCCAGTGGCCAGAATACCCAAGTGAACGGAACCATAGCTTCCCGAGCCAAGGACAGGCCCACAACGAAACGACTCCATCTCCTCCTGCGTGAGTGGGTCCTGGACATCTTGCTTTGCCTCAGCAGCTGACATCAGAGATGCTGCCGCTGCTGGTGACGCTGATGATAGGCGGGACGCCAGGAGTGCCCCCATCTCCAGCTCTTCAGAATGCATGGCTTTTTCTTCAGCCGACGTCATCCCCTGCGGGGTTAGCTCCGCATGGAGCCCAGGAAAATAAAAGCTGCCGAGAATGCAGTACTTCTCGCGGCGGTATCGTTCTTGCTTCTCCACCAACTCCATGTTAAGGCGGGAAGTGGCGTTCAACACGTTTTCGCGCTCCTCCATGGAGGCGCATGTCAGGAACTCGTACTGCAGGTCTTGGATACGGCTGTGAATCTGCTGAATCGAGCGCTCAATTGCGTCAATAGCGACGTTGTTTGTGGTCGCAAATTTGCCCGGCACAGCGATGATGTTGTAACAGACATTAACGCCCAGCATGACGAACCAAAGGAAGGCCACCACCACAAAATATATCTCCCCATCACGGCATGTTTTCGCAAATCCCAAATAAACCCGAATCGTGTGGAACAGGACACAGAAGTGTGCAAACAACGCCGCACGCGAAAACTCGACAATAAGCCTATTGATGTTTATGTAGGCCGTGGGAGGAGCGTGCAAAAGGAAGAGCAGCCGCAAGCATCGAAAGGTGAAGTTGTTGACAAGCAACAATAGCGGACTGTTGCTTAGCACCTTCCACATGGCGCTTTCCGTCAAGGACAAGGCATGTAGGGCAACCAACACCGATCGTCGGCACTGTAGGTCGCAGTGTAAGAGCTGCATTGCCGAAAACCTTCCCGACGGCATCACGAAGTAGAGTAGCAAAAGGGAGATGATCGGCATAATATTACGATCATGAGCATCTGCGCATGTAGGAATTTCACTAAGAAACGTGTTGCACGCGAAAGAGTCTAAAACGAGAGACCGGATCGGAAAGGAAAACACGACGAGAAAAAGCTGTAAAACTTTTTCTACCCTTGAAAGGATATGTACGATGACCTGCACCCACTTTCCGCACCGGCTTAGACGAATGCGCTTTGTGTTCAGAAGCATCAGCGCTACAGCGGCAAATCCCCAAATGAAGATGCTGGTCATCGCCCTTCGCATCGTCACATGGGCGTTGAGCAGACGATGGGGCAGCATAAGCATTACGCTGCGAAAGCGCAAAACTGACATGAAACCAACAGGCAGTGGCGTTTGCGGGAGAATAGCTAGCATGGACGTCTGTAGTGCGCTGAATAGCAGCGTGGCAAGCACCACATAGTTCATCCCGTGCAGCGCAAACTCGGACCGTGAGAGCGTCAGACGCAGGGGCGGCTCCCTTCCAAGATCGACAAGCCACTGCTTCCACGTCATTCCATGGACTTGCAGAAAAACCTGCACCACCATAAAACCCAAAAAGATAAACGTTATCCCCCAAACAATCATGTCATGCGTCGATGGCACACCCAGCAGTGGTTCATAGAGATTCATGTAAAAATGAAAGAATGGAAGAAAAAGCCTGTTCGCCTCCTCACGTAAATATTCCTCTGGGCATTCCATATTCGGCGGTAGCGCAAACCATTTTCGGCGCAATTCGTTATATTTTTTACGCTCCAATGATCTACTGGAGTACTCTGACACAGGCAGCAGTGGATAGGAGTAACACTCGACGCTTGAATCGCCTGCCCATCGCACACCGCCGCCGGCACTCAGCACGTCCACGCACGGTGGCCCCCGAACAGAGTACAACTTCACCTGGCCACCGCTCGCAATCTCGAGCGACCCAGTGATCAGCGGTCCAGGTAGCATGTCCGCCTCCAAGAGGCCTTCCACGTGCACCGCAGTGGCGTTAATTACACAACCACGCTCCAGGACGAGGCGTGAGCCACGGTCAACAGAAAGCGCTGCCTCGGCCCCCACATAGACGGCACCTTCTATGCCAAGAACCGCATTTTTCATGACAATCTCACCCACATCAAGTTTTGCCCCAATGCGGAGCAGCGTTTCACCACCCAATACGAGACTCGCTCTCCGCGATGGAAGGGCGTCCAGTGGTAGGCGTATGTTGGCGGCAAGAAGAAGCGGCATGAGCGTGGGTACCTCCTCGGAAAGCTTCAAGTATTCCACTGAGCCTCTAATTGCGCCACCGAGAGGAACTGTCACACACCCACGCAGAAGGAAACGACCCTCGACCTTCAAGCGATCTAAAAAGGAGAGCGCCGTGTCACAGTTGACGCGAGGATCCGGCGAAGACTCAACATATAAGGCTACAAGCGTGGCATTCTCAGCAACGGCAAGGGACACAAACGAAGTTTCCCCCCCTTCATTTACGCGGTATCCTTTGCCATAGCCGTACATAATTGCGACATTGTTGACCTGAATCCATATTTTACCGGAAAACACCACGGAGTCTATGTCGGCGGTTAATGCCCCCGCAATAACAAGTTGTGCCAAGCCCATGTTGGTCGTTAAACGTGTCCTGCGAAGATTCAGGTGAGACCCTTCTCCAAAGGCAATCACACCGTACAATGCCACCATAACAATGGAAGAACCTGATGATGGGCCAATAATGTCTGTGATAACTTCGCCCGTAACGATAATAGAATCAAGCGACAGTGATGGCCCTGTAAAGAGAATACGGCTTTGGTTCCCTTTTACGTTGACGGAAACAAGCGAAGAATCTCCCGTAAGTGCTAGCTCTGAATTTTCCAGCAATGTGATCCTCCCACTAAGCCGCGTAGCTGACACAGAAACTCGGGCTCCACGCTTTAGTACAAGTTTGGCCCTTTCCCCAACCAACAGTTCGGCAATTTTCAAACTCCCCGAGAGCACAAGTGTTCCCTTCATGTTCATTATATGTGCTTGGCACAACACGGCCGGGCCTTGTTCCGCGGCGATGACATGAATAATACCACCCCGGTTTATAATTACATTGCTGCGACTTCGAGAGCGGATACCGGCGCCCCCCGCCTCTCCCATATGGGCTACGGTTATGGTAAGGCGTCCGTAGTTGTGCACGGCCCCTCCACCTTTCAGGACCAGCTGCGGGAGATCCATCGCCATGTCACCGTAGTTGCGCAAGATAAACGACAAAGTACGAGGTTCGTCGCCGTGTGAAGTGATGGTAGATGCCCCAAAGCAGTTTATCTCCCCTGGGCCCACAATGCGACCTCCTGACCACACCAACGAAGAAACGTTGAGTGTCTCATGCCTCAAGAAAAGCATTATTGTCTGATTAATCTGCAAAAGGCCCGTACTGGAAGCGGGGTGAGGGTTATCTACTCTATCCAACGGCAAATCCGTTGCTTTCTTGTTCGTCGCGGCGTCAACGTCCTTTTCAACCAACAGTGTCGCCACCCTAACATACCGTTCCGATCCAGCACTACAGTAGCAAACGTGGTAGAGGCCTTCTTTGCTCAGAACACCGAAGAAAAGGGCCCGAGAGCTACTAGAGAGAGAGAATTCTGGTAAAAGTGTTTTCTCTGGGGTGAAGTCACTGCATAGCTGTGCCGTGATAACGAGTTCATCACGTTCCGAAAGATTGGTACCAAACACGTGACCCTTAAACTCCGCGCCAGAACGGAGTCGAAGGGGTTCGGTCGAAACCCCCTCAGGGCCTGCAATCTTTAGTGTCTCACCCACTTTCAGCATCACATCAGGCAAATTTTCCGGGAATGGCATATAGCAGAGAGTGACCAAGCCACCGCGCGTTGCAAGGAAACGAAATACCTGTTTCTCCTCATCCCATTCACTTTCACTAGTTGACGCCTCGACAGTATTCGCGCAGGCATTCCCTTCCATGACCTTTAATTTTGGACCAACTCCAGCACTATTTTCTTTTATTAGCGGAATTTCAATCGTATTCCCAGTAATATACTCTGCCCCGCCCATCTGCGCAAGTCTATCCGTATCAATGCGAATAAGCGTCTTTGGCGTGATGACAAACGCATTGCCCAGGTGGCAGCACTTGCCCTCTGTGCCCTCAACAAGCACACTACGCTTCTGAGCGAGGTTCCGCGGCAAACAAGGCACGACGAGCAGTGGCTCGTTCACAACAGAGTCGGAAAGCGGGTGAAAAGTGAGTCGCACGGTGCCTCCATTGTCCTCTACCTCAACCTGGCTGCGCTCCATCAGTCGTGGGAGCTGCCGCTGCCACGAGTTGGAACCGGCCTGCGTCTCCCGCTTGGTTCCGCCCTCACTCATGACGTGGCTCACAGAGAGCATCTCGGTCAACAGCTTCTTTAACGTTGCCTCGTCGTATCCGTTAAACGCTGGGAAAGCAGCCCGGATCGTTAGCGTGGAGCCACCCAGGCGCAGTTCCTCTTCGGCAAGGCCACGGTACACACTGCCCCCGAAGCGTACAGCCGCACCTGAGGCATGAAGAACAAGGAATAAGAGAAGCACCGCAAGGGCGCCGATCCCAGGCCTCGCATGAGAGCAAAAACAATGTTGTCCAGCCATAGGCGCCAACCCGCTATGGTAAAAAAAAAAAAACAATAACACACGCGAACAAAAAAAAACCTGTTGTTCAGACTATCTTCTTTCCGCAGGCCCCACCTATATATTTCTTTTCTCTCTCAGTGTGTGCGTATCTTTGTCACAGGCACGTTCCTTTTTCCTTATTGTCAATCCCTCCCCATCCAGGGTCCAACCTCACATGCAGTCCACGTCGCCACTATCCGTGTTCTCTAATCCCACAGGAGAGAGCCAAATATGTGGCTTGGCAGCGCCCACAATGTGGTGAAGAGGAAACACAAAACAACGCAAGAAGAAGGAAAGAAAAAGAATAAGGAAACAAAGACAAATGCGGCATACAAAAAACGTTCGCAGGGTCCTTCCCTCGTCCCCTCCCCTGCCCAACCGCAGAATACAGGCAGGGGGTGGTGGATGCAAACGACCGAGCCCAGTTGGACTGAGAAAAGAAACGGCGGGCAGTCCCAGCGAAAAAAGATGCCCCTACGAAATGAAAGAATGAGAGAGGAATTAGTGGAAAAAAAGACCCCTTGAAACTGTCGCAGAACACAAGTACATGCTTGTTCATCACAGGAAAGGAAAAAAAAAAAAGAAAAAAAAGAAACAGTAGGCTACGCAGTCCGCTCTCCTTCTCTGCACTGCCGCCTGGCACTGAAGAGAACAAAAACAAAAGCAAGAAGGACATCCAAATAATAATAAGGTCCAACTTGGGGAAACAGGATAACACTTGGGAACAAACCACAAGGCCGGCTCAAGTCAGCCGGTGAATAGGAAGCAAAAGGAGAGTGACCACCGTGCAACGCTGAGTCAACGACGAAGGAACAATTTCAAAAGCCGTCCCATGCCCCCTGTGGTTTCAAGTTCCTTTGCTTGGCTCAGCTGTGCCTGACACTCCATAAGACGCCTTGACAGCGCACGCAGCGTTTCCTCGAGTACCCTTTCCTTTTCACTTTTTTCCCTTGTGACACGTGACAGGGCCTCGGAGATACACATTTCTTTTTCTTGCGCTTCCTTGAAGCGCTGTTGAAAGCGGAGCATGACAGCGGAATCCCTTTCACGCTCATCCTGCATAGACCGAAGCATCCTTGCTAAACGCTGTTTTTCTTCTGCTTCCAAGCGAAGCTGCTCCTCCAGATCCTGCTGGACGCTTATTTGATCCTCCATCTCGAACTTCTCGCGCTCAATCAATTCCTTGTAAGAGTCGGGCAGCTGACAACAAGGCACTATACCCAAAAGTTCCAACTGACTCTTAAGGCGAATACAGACTTTGGCCACAAACTGCATCTTGGACGCATTTTCAATGACGAGCTCATCCTTGAGCTGGAGCTCCTGATCCTTCTCCTCCAGAAGTGCCTCCACCCCAGCAGAATCTTTGCCGTCGCGCTCCGCGAGACGAACAGCCAGCCTTCTCTCACTCTCACGTAGCGCACGCAGTATGTTCATATAGTCGTCCACCGCGATGGAATCCACCGGAGGAGGGATGGGTTGCGATTCTGGCACCGGCAGCTCCGCCGAGTCAATCACCTGTCGAAGATTGCTGATCACCTGTTGGTAATGCTCATCGTTAGCCCGGGCACTTGACAGCAGATACTGCTGACGCTCAATTGTCTCCATCAATTCGTCCACCTCTGCGTCCTTCACTTTAAGCAATACATCAAGGTCGGCATCGGGCGTTACCTCTGGTGCGGAGGGAGTGGCAAGCGAAGGCACGGGCGGTACAGCAGAGGCGCCCAACCTAATCGGGGGCACATACGGCTGCGAAGCCGCCACGCCATTAGCCGCCATTTCTGCCTCCAGCTTCCGAATGCGATCCAATAGAGCAGTTTTCTCCTGCATGCTGAACGCCAATTGGTCGGATAACTGTTTTACGGCCTTTTTGGAGGCATCGGTTTGGGACGCGGGTCCCGCCGTCCTCGGCTCGTCAGCTGACAAGAAGAACTGGCGGAGCTGGCTGGCGCCACGCCCCGAGGCTTGAGGAGGCGCCAAAGGGGGAAAGCCGCGCGCCGTACTTCCGGTGCCGCGTGCTGTGCCAAAAATACGTGCGGTGAGGGGAACGGACTGCTGCGCACGTTCTTCCTTAAGGCGTTCCACCTCCCGCGTCAGTTCCGCATTTTGCGCCCTCAACTCATCCAAGTCAGCCTGCATGGTCACACGAAGCGTTTCCATCTCACTACTGTCAACCATCTTGGCGCGTCTCTCACGCAAAAACTTTGTCAAGTCGTCTGCCTCGGAGAGCTCAATACCACTCTTGGCAAGATATTGACGCAGTTGCGTATTCTCGTCGTGCAACTTGTTGATCTCCTCCACGCGTTCGGAGGAAATCTTTGACAGCCGCTCCACCTCGGCGTACAACTGCGCCTCCTTCTCACGATGCCACTCCAACTCAGCCCCCAGGCGCTGCTGAATTTCCTCCACCTGGCCAACGTCGATGAAGGTCTCGGGGAAGATGGCCTCCTCCACGGGTGTCCCGCCCATCTCCTTGATCTGCTGCGTCAAAACCTCAATGTGCTCGTGAAGTCGGGCGGTGTCGTTGGCGCGAGTGGCAAGTAGGGAGTCCTTTTCCGCCAGCTGACGCAAGACATTAACGATGTCATCGTTCTTCCCTTGGCGTGCATCGTCAAGTTTTTTCTGGAAATCCTCAATGATGCGCTCTTGCGCCAACTTCATCTCGGCCCGGCGCTTCGCCTCCTGTTCCGCCTGTTGACGAACAAGCCTCGTAATCTCCTTTGAGTGCACCTCCTCTTTGTACTGAATCTCCTCGTCTCGCTGCTCGTGCAGGTTCTCCACCTCCACCTTGTACACCTCGCGCAGGTATTGTATCTGCTCCGGAGATGCGTTGCTTGCCACCAAGTTCGCCATATCCTTCTCATACCGCATATCGATCTCCGCGCGCTGTTCATTATACCGCTCCATCAGCTCCGCCCGCTCAGCGTCGCGGCCAGCAATCTGTACCTCGAGCAAAGCAATCTGCTGCTCCTTCTCATCCAGCAGCGTTTGCAGGTTGCGGGCCAGTTTTTCATAGTTCACCACCACCGATTGCTTGGCGGTCACCTTCACCGACATCGCGCGCAGGCCAAATTGCAGGGTGTTGGCCGTCTCGTAAAGGTGATCGCTGCTTGGCCCAACGGTAAGAATGATGGAGGTGCGACTTCTGCCACCGATGGAGTCCTGCAAAATACGGGTGAGTTTTGAGTCTCGCCACGGAATATGCGGAGATCCAGAAGACAAGGCCGTGACTACGTGCCCCAGAGCCAACAGGGAGGCGTTAATACATTTTGCCTCATCCTTCATGATGGTGTTCTCGTTGGTGATACCGGTCTTGGCGAAGCGCTCGTAACCGGCCAGGTCAATGAACGTAATTTTACCCCGCATTTTTCCCGCCGCAGGGTCGTTAGGGTCCTCAGAAACAATACTGATCACCAGCGCGGTGTGCCCGCGGCTCGACTCTGGGTTCATTGCCGTTGCCGTCACAACACGGCGCTCGTTTCCGGCGCGGTAAAACTGCATGAACTCCTGCGGGGAGCGGAGGACGCGAGATGTGCACCCCGTAAACGTAATGCCCTCCTCCTCATCAAATCGAACCTCCACCCGCTCCTTGCCGGAGCCCACCATCAAGTCACCGAGGTTGTCGCGGTATATCTGCACAAACCGTCCGACAACCTCGTAGTTACGTCCTGGACACGCTTCTATCTTATCATAAATAAAGTGAGCCGCCCGAGGGATAATTCCCTCAGTGCCAGGGGTTGTGTTGCACATAGTAAAGGACTTCCCAGTACCTGTCTGACCGTAACACATCAGCGCCGAACAAAACCCATTGAACGCGTGCTCAAGGCAGGGCACGGCGACGGAGTCGAAAATCTGCTCCTGTGTGCAGTCCTGGTCAAAGGCTCCGTCAAAATCGTATCGGCGCTCGCCCTTCAAAGCGATGCTTTTGCCCTCCACCGATACCAGCTTAAATCCGCCGCCCCGATAATCTATTTTGATCGTTGGGCGCAATCTGCAGTAGACAAGGCACCGATTTAGGGTCTGCGTCGGTTCACTGGTGGACTTGTTCAATGACTTCCTCTGCTCCTTGACAGCATCCGCCCTTTGCGGCTTGGGCAACTCCGCGGCCTCTTTGACGGCAGCCTCAACCGGGGCAGCCACTGAGCTCTGATCGGCCATTTCTGAAATGGCAAAAAAAAAAAAAAGTTCAAGTTATCTCCTTTTCGTTGCTTTTGCTTCACGCCGGGCGCAACCTTTCCTTACACGCTGCTCCCTCTCTCTCCCTTCTGCTATATGCGGTGTTCTGTACAAATTTACTTGTGTGTATATTTGTTCCCCTGTGTATGAGTGCAGCCGCAAGAAGAAACTATCCCAACAACTAAGAAGAGTCAAATCAAATCAAGAGGGAAATAAAGAGTCGTCCCACGCTACAAATCCGCAGAACCACAACGCACGTTTTCAAACCTCCGGCGCAGAACACCATCAGTTACGGGTTTTTTTTTTCTTTCTCGGTCGTTCTCGTTGCTGCTTTTTCCACGACCGTTTTCAGCTGTGGATCCCGTGGGGGAAATCCCCGCGTGCCACCGACTCCCGCCTCCATTCACGTCGGCGGCCTCACATCAATCGTGGCAGCCGTCGTTGCTCTCAACCGACTCTGCAGCATCCTTATCCGAGGAAAGACTCCCCACCCCAGCTGAGGAGTGAGGACGTTTCTGGCGTGCCGTCTTCGCTCGCCTTGTCGGCAGCACGTCAAACGCCCTACGCCAGTCACCACAGTCGGCAAACCGGCATAGCACCTCCACCACATGATTCACCGTGAGGACTTTGCAGCGGTTACCCACCTCAATGGATTCATCTAGTGGAAGACGGGCCATACGCACGCCATGACGCCTCGCCGCATCTCTAGTGAGAAACTTTCGCGAATTGTGATCTACAAAGGCGCCAACGACGTACACCGTATCGGGTTCCAGGCCCTCTAGCACAGTTTCTGTGTCAGCCGTCAAAAAGACGACGTCCTCCTTTCTGTACAGAGTAGACCAGTGCTCCTCGTGAATCGGTGGAGGATAACGGCGAAACCCCTCGAAGTCACACATCGTGCGCAACACCTCGCCATGTATGCTCGAGTTCACCGTCTCCTGACCACCAATAGATGTGATCACAGGCCGCATCGGGAAGTTATGCCGCCGCAATACACTGTAGCTAAACTTTATCTGCGATACTGTACTGCGACAGTCGGCAGCCGTCATGCACCAGGCGAAGCTTAGGTCGAACACCAGCAACGGGAGAGAGGTGTCGGCGAGGTGCTGCTCACGCACCGCATGCTCCTTTGCCTCTGCGGCCCGCCGTCGCTCGTGAACTGTGATCGCCTCTGCACGCCGGCGTTCCCGCTCCTCGTCGTCAAGTTCCTCCCACTCCTTCTGCTGCGCCTCACGTCGTTGTGCAGCCGCCTCTTTGCTTCGTCGCCTCCGTTCCGCCTTTTTTGCTCGCCAGTAAGCTGACTGCTGCTCTGCCGTCCATGTTCCCTTATTTTTCCGCAGATACAGTGGGGCGCCGGCAACCACCTTCTTCTCGCTGTCGTCTACCATGGCTAGGCGGAGAAGAGAGCAGAGAGAAGGCAAGGGGCAAGGGAGTGGTTCGCTGGCTGTGACGCATTTCCGCCGCCGCGGGCAGCAAAAAAGCTGCCGGCCGCGGGACGCATTGACGAAGGGGAGCAACAACCACAAACACGGCGGGAGCTGCAGATACCTGCTGCCCGTACCACGTCCTGGGCACGCAGCCACCGGGGCCGGTGAGTGAGGAGGCGGTAGGCCAAAAAAAAAAATAATAATAATCCCGTCTCCTGCCCGCCGCAAGAGTTAAAAAAAAACACACACACACACACACAACCAAAAAACGATACAATAATTGTTCAACAAAAAAATATAGGCATGCGTTGTATGCATGGGCTGAAACAAGTGCACGGCGCGTCCAAGCAACGAACTACATAGCTGTTCCTAAATGCCCGCAACAGCAGCACAACTGTCGACCGAAGCTCCCTCGAGAGCTCTTATTCGCGTCATTGCACGTTGAGTGATAGTCTCCAGCTGCTCATATTGCTCAGCCATACACGACACCGTCCGTGCTGCCTTTTCCCTCAAACTAGCCAATCGGGAAGCCCCCATAGAAAGCCGCCAGTTACTCCAGTACTTCAGTATAATAAACTCTTTACTATACTTAGTAGTAAATTCACTTTTCTCACACATGCTAGCGGAATTCTCTTCTATTCGGCAGAAGTATTCCTCGACAAGCATGTTCATTTTATCACTCACAGCAGTGGTGTACATCTCATCCAGCATGAGCAAGTAGGGAAGTATGCTTCTTTGCAGCAGAAGTGATAGAGTGGAAACGGTTGCCCCCCATTTCTCCATTCGCTGCTCTGCCAATAAAGCTCGGCCACGCCACTCCTCAAGCCCTTCTTGGTGTAAAGAAAGCAGCGTAGCGATAACAGCATTAACCTCTGATCCGTCTTGCAGCGAAGGGAGGCTCTCAACCGCGCTGGAGAGGGCCTCTCCTGCATGTTCCTTCTCCTCTTTTTCAGCTGTGCTCATGCAACATGGTATCAGTTCGTTTTGCGTCGAAGAAGCATTGGGCACACTTTGGAGAGTCGCGAAACTCAAACTCGCCTTGGCTTCTGATAACGGGGCTTCATCACTCGTGCAACTGGGCGGATTCGAGCGTGCCGATAGCTCACTTTTCGCACAAATTATTTCCGCCGGCTCCCGTGTCAACTGCTGCAAAAGGGTTTCGATCACCTTCGAGAGCTCGTCTTCTCTCTCCTTGTTTGCCTTTTCCTTCCATTCATGCTCTCGCTTTTGCTTTTCCAGTTCGTTTCGGGCAAACTGCAGCTGTTCCCGCGTCTCTTCGTGGAGTTTCGCCTCCCTGCGCAGCCTTGCCACTTCCTCCTCCAAGCAATTGCTCCCATCGTTGGTTTCCGGGGCGTCCCTGAAAGAGGGGCTGGGGGCCTGAGAGGTGCAGGGCCCTGTCCTGCCCCCCTTCCGCGGCCCCGCACTCCTTTTCTGAAGAACGAATGACATCCACATTAGCAGTCGGACTCTCAACTGCATCTCGGCCTCATTGGCGGCAAGGCGGCGCAGGAGAAGTTTCACCAGAGACTCCCTCTTCCCCGATTGGTCGGCATCCGTCCCCGTTGCTTCCTCGCACATGTCAGTGTGCAGCGCCGATGTGCGCGTCACCCCGTCGCCAACACCTGGACCACACTTTTCCTCCGCTAGAGGTGTCTCGAGATGCTCATTTCGCGCAGACAACGCCGCGAATGCCCGCAGGTGCTCAGCCTGCTCTTGCAAAAGCTCACGACACCGAGCCTCCAGCTTGCACTGTGACTCCAGTGCACTGAGGGTCGCCCGTTCGGCCCGCTCCAATCGAGCCTCGTAGGCGTAAAGTACGGCATCTTTTTCACTCATGATCTTTTCTCCACGCAACAGTTCCGCCGTCAGTACAGTGACTCTTTCAGGCAACGAGGCATCTTTTTCTTCCAACTTGTTGAATTCGCACATCTGCTGCTGTAGTTCCACAATGCGGCTGTCTCGAAGCCGCACCTCATGAAGAAGTTCCGTGTTGCTTCTTGCCAGCTCGACAAGTTTGTCTCGCCACTCGCTCTTCACCAGCCACAGAGCTTCTTTGCTGGCCCTCCGTCGTACCTCCTCCACCTGCGCAAATTTTACTCGAAGCTCCTCCCTCAGCCGCTCAGCCTCCACCTGGGAGGTCTGAACCGCCCGCTGCATTCCCTCCAGCGCGTCCAGGTGGTCCTCGCGCTCGTCTAGCAACACCCGCAGCTGCCGCGCCAACGCCGCTGCCCTTTTTTCCGCCTCCTCCGCGCCCTTGCCCGACGCACGAGGTGCCACAACATCCATTGCAGCCCCTTACCCGTCAGAGCCCTTCTTCCCTTAATCCGCCTAGGCAAGAAGCAAAGACAGGAGGCTTGGAAAAGGTGCTTTTAGTGATTGAACGCAGCGACCATCCAGCGGCCCAAAGGAAATAAAATGATAAAGAGGATTCCATGAAAGGAAGTACAAAAAAAAAAAAGCTGCGCTAAACAAAACCAGAAAAAAACTAATAAAAATAAAAACAGAGGGCCCTAATACGTTCTCAAATTGAGATATATTCAAACTCAGGTCGAAGGGATGTCACTCCAACGAGATGGACCCCTTGCTCGGATGGGCGTGTAAGTATGGTTCGCCCAGGTATACCCACGGCACTTGCCGCTTGAAGCATGGCATCCGCGACAGCTTCATTCTTGCGTTTGCCCCCTGGCTCGATCAAGGGATCGCCGTATCGGCCACTCACAAATGCACATACAGTGGGTCCAGCACCTGAAAGAAAGGCATACTGGGCGCCAGCAGCCATGGCGGCATCGACACAGGGACGAAAATGAGGGAAAAGGGCGTCAGCCCGTTGCTGCTGGTGCAGTTTGTCATCACATGACTTTAGTATGTCAAGGTTCCCAGTGCAGAATGCCAGCACAAGGATGGAGGCGCGAGAAACATTAAAGACTGTATCCTCAAGCGAAACACTAGTTGGAATCAGATTGCGTGTTGCATGTGTATTCATCTTCATCTTGTTCTTGGGGACAAATAAAACGACAGAAAAAGACGCTGTTGTTGGAACGCGATAAGTTAAGAAGCGGCCTGTGTTGTCCTTGTATCCAAGTTGAATACCACCATACAGTGCGGGGGCCGCATTGTCGGGGTGGCCCTCAAACTTGGCGATCACTTGCAGAATGGCCTCCGCCTTTTCTGTCTCCATTGTGAGTCCGCAGAGTTTCATCCCGGCAATGAATCCCGCCACCGCAGCGGCAGAGGAAGAGCCACACCCACAGCCAAACGGAATATTGCTCTTCACGGCGAACCTCAGTGGAGGCATCTCCTTGTGCGCGTACTCAAAGGCAAGTTCACACGCCTTCACCAACAAATTTTCGCGATCGGTGCGTATATGTTCACTTCCATCGCCCTCAAGCTGTACCGAGAATGCATCCGCGTACTCCACCGTGACCTCCATGTAGATGGAGAGAGCCATGCCAAGCACATCATACGCCGGGCCCAAATTCGCTGTCGTTGCGGGAACGCGGAGAACAACCTTCTTTGGAAGCTTCGACATGCTTGTTGTTGCGGGTGATACCAATTTCTCCTCTCCTGTACCTTTAAAATGTAGTGAGTATTACCACACAGACTTGAAAAAAAAAGAAAACAGTCGGAGGCGAAGCTGCATCGACCCACACTTATCGAGGATGAAATTTCTTTTCTTTAGCTCAGTACAGACACTTATGCGCATGCAAGCTTTCTCACACGCACATACACACAAGCATGGCAAAAAAAGAAAGGGATCAAGAGACACACACACACGCACACGCCCACGTACACACAGACGCACTGATATACATACGTGTAAGTACACGCATAAAGCCATATACGACAGTATGTATATAAATATCGGTACTTGTGTAAAGAGGAACTAAAAAAACAAAACAAAAAAAAGGAAAAAAAAAGACAAAGGAGTAAGTTCTTTCCTTTATCATCTCCTTTTCTCAGCGTTCCTCTCCCCCGTCTATCTGTGCTCATACTCAGTGGTGGCTTGATACGTTTTTTTTCGTGTGCGTTCTTCCCGTCTTTGCTTCTTATATTTTATGAAGTTAGTGGAGTGGTGGAGTCAAAGGAACGTGGATGTTGTCTTTTTTTTAATTTTTAGTTGCTTGGGTTGTTTTACTTTTACTCTTCATCTTTATTGCGCTCTTCCTTGCCCGCCCGCACCACTTTTATTTATGCCTCTTTTCCCGCTCTTTTCTTTTTCCTTCTCCGTTGGTCTTTGCCTTCAATTTTCCTTCTGAAATAATTTTTTGCCGCCCCTCAGTCTTCCCCTCCTCTCCCCCCCCCACCCCACCCCGTTCATTAGAAGGGCGCCTCACCCCTCGAGTTAATGCGGTTCAAAATTCTTCTTTGTTGTTGTATGCATTTTCTCATATATATTCACTACTTTTGTTTCTTTGCTTACTTTTCGTTTTTGTTTCCCTCATGTCTTGATTTTTTTTTCGCTTTTGCTCACGTTTCCTACTCCCGTGCACCGCGTGAGAGGTGCGTGCCTCGCCCTCCCGCGTTGGTCACAGGGCGTTATATATAAATATGTATTTATATTTTTTCCTTTTTCCCCCTTTTTTTCTGCGTCCCCGCTCCCGTCCGCGGCTGCGGCGATGCCCCCTCTCGTGCACCCGGGCGGGTGCAGAACGCACACACCCGGCGCCCACCCACGGAAGACCTTGATTAGCGGCGGGTCAAAAGGCAGGTGTGCACCTTCTGCTGGTCCCACCACACGCCAGAGCCGTTCGCGCCTGTCCGATCGTCCTCACTGTGCTGCTGCTGATGGTGCTGCTGTTGTTGCCGCCTTCCGTTGCCTGTCATTCACGCACCTTCGCACAGGAACCGTCAGTCCCCGCGGCTGCCATAAACGCCCAGATGTACACACTCACGCCCACGCACACGTGCGTCCACACGCTTGCACTCCACGTGCCTTGTGAAGGTTATAACTCTTGCATCCCTTTCTTACTGCCTCGTCCGCTGACGGTAAATGTTCACACGAGTCTTACGGGTTCCGATTGCCGGCGGGTTGGCCTTGAGAGCATCCATGACGTTTTCTTTATCCGAAAAGTCAAGGAAGACGTGACCATTGGAGGAGTTGTTACGGAGGGAGACAATATGAGCCGCCAACGGGCCCAATGCCTCCTTAATTTCTTCATCTGAAACCGCATAATCAATGTTGAACATCAGGCGATCACCAATAGGCGCTGCGGGGGGACGCGGGGCCTTTGTAGAAGGCTTCTGGCCCCCTACAGCCGCTGCGGAGGATGATGCTACGTGCCGTTGCTCTGTCTGGGTCGGCTTTACAGGAGCATTGACCTCAGCGGCATCGGCATTTCCGCCGTTCTCCGGGACAACCACCCTCAGTGGCTGGCGATGCTCTCCCTTCGGCTGAGCGCTGGCGAGACTAGCCCATGACTTTGGCTTCGCCGACGCTGCTGGCGGCTGACGCTGCGCAGGAGCCGCGGCCGCCGGCTCAACAGTATCTGTCTTCTTCTCGGCTGCTTCTGCTGCGACTTCTCCAGAAACCTCCACGGCAACCTCCTTCTTCGCTTCCTCCTCTGCGGCTGGTCGAGTTGACGGCGCCGCAGCCTCTTCCGCTGGCTCAGGAGACACTTCTAACTTCGGCTCTGGCTGGGGTTTGACCTCGGGCTCCGGCTGCTCCTTCTCGGCGGAGCCGGGACGCATCACAATCTGGTGACGGATAAAGTACGCCTCCGAGCCGTAAGCCCCCGTGTTGTACGACTCAAGGATGTTCACAAACTGGAAGTAGTGGCGGGTCGACTTGGACTCAGCGAACGCGGTCACGTACACGCTCACCCCACCGTACAAGGGGACGGCGGAGTAGCTCTCCACGCACATCTCGCACCCCTGAAGAATCTGGGACCACTGCTCTACCGCCCGGGGGACGTCCCCATTTCGGACTTCGGTTGTGCCGTACACGAAGTCTACGATTGTCAAGGACGAGTTCGGGCCGTACATCTCGGCAAGCTCGGCGGGGTTGGATGCGAGGCGCTCAAAGAACGCCGGGACGAACTGGCAGGCAACCTCCTGAGGTGTGAGCATGGCTTCGGGCTGTTGCTTGACGGGGGAGTAGCGTACCTACACTGTCGACGGGGGCAGAAGTAGAAAACAAAGACATCAGAAGAAAAAAAGAAGAAGAAAAAAAACGTGTAGAGGCGACAGCCGTCACTCCGCCGCAAATGTTCTTCCTGCAGGGGCAGTCTGCTGCTACACACAACTCGACACCATGCCGCCAAAGCAACAACAAGAATGTGCAATCTGAGTGACACTGTGGGAGGCAAATGAAGGCGACTACAGGGCTCGCAAATCGTCACAAGGGATTGCCCACTTGTTGAAAGTCGCCACACACAACGAAACACTTCGAGAGTCCACAGGTGACTCCGTCGCCTTTAACGCCGCAATGAGTCGCCGGACACTTTCAACGTCCACGACCAGGCAAAGCAGTTGCATGAGACGTATAGACAGCTTACTCTCTATGGAGAGGGAGTTTTCGCTCATGGTAGCCCACCATCTGCATCGCGGCAGAAACGTCCTGCGCGTCGATTGCCAGCGCAAGTCCCCCACGAAGAAAATCGCGTGAAAGCTCAAGGCCCAAATCCGACATCTCCACCAGAACCCCTGGCAGCCGCGCCACCGAACTCGCCGCGTCAGGCAGGGAAAGAAGTAGAAGCAAAAACGTGCGCGATGTCCGCTGTGCCCCAAGACGCTCAAAGGCGGCAAACACCATGGATGCCTTTCCCTCATCCTTCAGCAGCGCAGCGGCCTCCATAAGCACATTAAGGGACTTGTGGCTCACCTCACCGCCAGCCTCCCGCCGCTCTTCCAAAATAGCCAACCCTTCCTCCACACTCGCTCCGCCCAACGCAACGAGCCGTACCAGTGTCATGATTGGGTCCGCGTTGAGAAGCGTCACTTTTCTCGACTCCAGAAAAAACTTTGGTCGGGGACCTGGTTGGCAGTGGGTTTCAGGCACTTCATCTTCTAACACGGTCAACGCCTCCTTCAGCCGCTTGCCCCGTGAGGCGGCCTCTAGGAACAGCAATGACACGGCCACTTGGTTCTCTGCAGAGACAATGCCGGGGTGTTTACCGAGGTATTCCCTAAGATAGGCGGCAGATGCCACGTCGCCCCACTTGGCACACTTGGCCATGAGCTTCAGTGCTGTGAGCTCGTTGTTTAATACGGGGTCGGTTGAGTCCACACTCACCGTTTCCACCTCGGTAACTGCAGAAGTTGACCGTGAGGAAGTGACCTCGGGCGTGGATGCCTCCAGCTTCCAAGTTACCTCCAGAAGTTCTATTAGCTGCACCGTCGTCGCAGGCGGCGCCGCCGCATTATTGGCGCTAAGCAGCATATACGGCAGCAAGAGTCGGGAGGAGAGCCTCTGCCTGTCGAGAAGCTTCAGAAGTTCAAAGCACTCCTGAATCATTGTCACGTCGTGGTGCAAGCGAAGCATCGTCTGAAAGCAGTGCTGTAGCCGCAGCTCAAGAAGCGGGTATTGACCCCGCCGTTCGGCCTTCGCGATGCTCAGCGCCTCGTCCCGTATCTCGGGCCACCACACAGAGTAGTCCTGCCCCAGCCGCATGTACAAAATGAACAGCGAAAGCCGCGTCACCACGTCGGGGCTGACGGACTTTGCGCGCATAACCTCCACAACGTTCTCAATCTCGTACTGGTTAAACGTGTCCGTGAGGGAAATGGCGAGCAGGTAGACGTTGAACAGCTCAATCGAGGGTGAGTGAAGCTCCAGCACACACTGCGCGAAGAGAAAGCGAAGCTCCTCCATCTTCTGAAGATCGCAAAGAACTTTCATCATGACAAGGGCAAAAGGCTCCACGTCCTCCACGGCGCCGCAAAACGCCTCAATCGGCCTCGCCGGTGCCCCTGACGCCGCCTTGCCCGCCATGGTCTGTCGGTAAAAGGCTCGGAACTGCTCAAAAACGCCGCCTGCCGCGGGAAGTCCTTCACCCTCAACTTGCAGCATCTTGAGCACGCGGTGATACGGACGTGGGGCGGAGCTAGACGGCTGCGCCCTGCCACCCACAGCCGCCACCCGCCGCAAGAGACTCAAACGCCACATGAGGGCCACACCCTTCCTCTGCGTGCAAGCCCGCCGGCAAAGTGAAGAAGCGGAATAAGCAGAAAACAAATAAATAAATAAGGAAATAAAATTTCGTCCCTCGTTGAAGTTGGCCTCTCTCTCTCTCTCTCCCTCCTCTCTCTTTATGAGTCTCCTCTGGAGGAAGGGAGAGGAAGAGGAAGAGGAAGAGGAGGGGGGGGGAGAGAGAGAGAGAGAGAGAGAGAGAGAGAGAGAGAGAGAGAGAGAGAGAGAGAGAGAGAGA